CTTTATCTTTATTGTCTTTCCTCAGGAGAACAATCTCAAATAGATGAAGACCTGGTCAGCATGGTGATTGAGGACTCCCAGCCATTTAGCATTGTGGAGGACAAAGGATTCAAAAGATTTGTTAAATCATTAAATCCTAGCTATGTTCTCCCCACTAAAATGTCATAAAAGCAGTGAAAATTTAGTTTTTACAGAATAAAATGTGAACAGGCAGGACTGAGGCTCAAAGCCTCAGTGTGTAGCTGTCCATACCTCAACGTTACAAAAGCACAACCACTGTCCACACCCCAACCACACCTCACCTCACAGTAAATGATCATTTCCATTTCAAGCATTTCCAAATAATCATTTCCCATACTGCCACTATAAATATACACAGTATACTGCCATCACTACAATATACATGTTTTACACACTCCTTTTGTTGTTGACATTTACAGGCTGTGTGCAAAATGCCACACTCTTCAAATTCATGCCAGCTATTATTTTTACGTCCAGTAGGTGTCCTGCTAGAGCAAATGAAGCTTCATGAAGCTTCGCGTTGGGGTGAACCAATTGGATGAAAAGCTTCAGTGCTTCATGGGGCTTCATCTGCCCATCACTACTGACGAGCCCAGCTGCAAGTAAGCTGTTAAGACTCGACTGTACACCGTGTTCTTGTTTTCCTCCGAAACAATAAGCAGCCTTTCAACGCCTCTCTCTGTCTCTGGCTAGCAAACTTGACCCAGACAACAAAGTAAAGCTAGTTTTCAGCTATGAGCCCGACACGAACCGGACGTATTAGCCAGAGGTCCCTTTACTACGGTTCGGAGCCGCTGACCTGTTTTATATACGCGCTGAATAGTTTTCTACACGAGATCGCTGCAGCCTTACCTAATGTCCACCTACTGTTACTCATTTATATTAAGATTTTAACATCTAGTTGGTGTTGGTATGGCAAGTAGCCTTCAGTAATAGTAATAAATCACACAGCAATAGTACATTCATGTAGTTGTAAAGTATTCAGAATACATTGCTTCTATAATCTTTGGTGGAATACATTTTAAAATTAACCTTCCCAACACTGTCAACAGGTTAGCACCTCATACCACAGTGCATCAAAGCAGTCTCATGAGCGCTGGGAAGGAGGAGCCCAGAGCCCAAAACAGACAGTGCAGGAGATGACAAGGTTAGTAATTGTATGGTGAAAATTATACTTTATCTTGATTGGCAAAAGAAAAGTAAATACAAAATCTGCTTCTCACATATAGGTCATTTCCAAAACTTCAATTTCTTTCATTACAGCTGTCCTGTGCCAGAAGTTCTGTTGACCCACAGTGAGAGGAATCATTTCAGAAACACCAGGAAGACTGAAACTCATCGCCGGGATCAAGCAGGGCTCGTGATCTTCACCAGCAGCTCCCTCACAAGAAGGATAAACCCAGCATTTCATGAACACTGATGGAGACCTTTGCTTTGTGTAATGTTAGAAGTACTCAGATAATCCTCAGAGGGTCTGGACTTTTAATAGAATAGAATTCAACTTTGTTGTCATTGCACATGCACAGGTACAGGGCAACGAAATGCAGTTTGCAGCCATTCAGAAGTGCTTTAGCCATGATATAGATATATTACAATATATATTAGCAATAATATAGATATGTAAGTATATTACAGAAATGGGTCTATTATGGTATGTTATAATGTACACGGTATGAAGTATGTTGTGAATATTCTATAACTATAAGTATGTACAGGCTGTAGTGAGTACAAGCTATGTACAGGATATGAACAGGATATAAATATGAAAAACTACAGAAATCTGAGATATACAGTTATACAGAAATGTGAACTATGCAAATTATAAACAGTTGTAGGATTAAAAATCATCATATGTACAGAATGATTATTTACACAGAACTATACAGTAGTGCAGTTAAGTAATAGCTATAGCTATAAGCTATAGTAATAGCTTTAAGTCCTGTAGAAAGTTAAATATATGTTGTGCTCACTGGTTACTCTGGTATGAATGACTCTGAATTACTTTGATAAATAACACACTATTGTCAAAAAACAGTGAAAGAATTCCAGATCACAAGTTTTTAGTTCAAATACAAGTAACAACCTTTGACTTTTAATCAGGTTTTAGTTAATTGTGTCAGAGAAAACATCACGTGCTCTTCATGTAGCTGAGTACATTCAGTGTTTAAAACACAGTTTTCTGAAACACCAAACTGAGGTACTGTTAATGCTGATGTATAGTGACACAGTTACAGGGGTGATTAATCCTTTTGACTTTTTGTCTTTAAATTTATCAATAAAACAGCTGCAGCTTTCACTGACAGCACATGTGGTACTTTAACCTTTGTACTGTTTTCTTCAGTTAATTTTGGAGTTACTACAAAGATTGAAGATATAGGATGATCTGTCTGCTGTCACTGGGTGGTGCTGAGGTCTGAATCTGAGGACGGCTCCTGTAATCACAAACAGAACAGAATCATCACAAACTGAAATATAAAGTTTATCTCTCAAATCTGAAATACAGCTGATCCTTCTCCGGCCTCACACACTCGGGATCTGAAGTTGTTCAGTCCTACAGTTCTGCCGACAGCTGTTTATTTTTTTATTTGTTTTAAAGGCCTTACTAACACTTTTTCTAATATCATGTTTACCTTTGAGCTGTTGATGCTTTATAAATGGACATCTGCAAAGATGAGATGATGGAGCAGGTTTCAGTCGAGGTTCAGTCTGCTGCTGCATCCTGGTCACAACATACAGAGGTGTTATCAGCTTAGTATTGAACAAGAAATATTAATGTTTCAAATTATTTGTCCTAAAGGATGCAAGCTGTACAGAGTACTGAACATGTGACTTTGTGAACATAATTCATTAAAAATAATTTGGACAGTTTTTTAACCTGAATATTTGTAACAAACTCAGTTTAAAAAAATAATAATAATAATAATAATCAGGGGAAAAATGTAAAATTTTAAGTTAAGCTGACAAGCGGAAGTAGTTGGTTTCAGTACATAAGTATCGGGCTTTGCTATTTAATCCGTAGCTATTGACTAATGAGGGGAATTTAAAAGTTGGCTTTAATGTCCTTCCACATGTGGAAAGCGACAGAAAACATGCTGCTGTTTGCACATATTTAATAATCAGCTCTGCACAGGAGCAGAAGCAGAGTCCAGCCTGTTGCTCTTACAGTATAATAAAAGTACAGTAACCGTGGTTAGTCACTGAGCAGCCCGGTGCGTTTCTCTTGATTTCTTTAGTCAGGGTAAATCCATTCACCTGCACGGGGTAGCTAAACGAACTTTACAAAACATGTTTCCCCGACAGCCGAGTGCTCATCTTAGCTAGCTAGGTCCTTAGGTAGCTAGCTAAGGACCTAAATTACGGATTAGCTTACAAACACATTTAACTTACCAAAAATAATGCGGTGGGGCCTCAGATCCTCCTGTCCGGTAGTCCAATTTACTGAAGAACACCTCAGGCTGTCACTTTGAAATAGTCGGTAATGTAAACGCTGGACCTCTCGGCATCTGCCATTCCCGAACAGACACGTGCGAGTTTGTCCGTGACCGCAGCCGCGTCGTCAGTGTTTTCTCCAGTCATTGGTCATCATTATAATATATGCAAATACATGCGGGTCGGAATCCCCGCCCCCCAGCGCGCCCCCGTACACCAAAACAGTGCCAGCAGAGTTAAACCGAAAAATGGATTGAAACCGAAAAAAAAAAAAAAAATTGTAAGCGAAAACAAAAAATTACAGTTTCAATTAATTGTTTTTCACTATCAATTTTTTTTTCGGTTTCAATACAAGATTTTTCAGTACATTTATTTCAGTTACAATATTTTTTTTCGGTTTCAATCCATTTTTCGGTTTCGTTTCAAGGTGGCATCGTTCTGATTCCATAGTATCTATCCACAGAGCACCAAACTCCTAAAGCTGGTGGACCCACAGAAGGGCAGCTGATGTACTGGTTTCAGACCTGAGCTGCCTTCAGTCATTATTATTCATTAACTTAAAAACCATGATCCATTAGCTAAAGTTTATAAATGAAGTTTCTCTTTGAAAAACAAACAAAAATATACTAGAAACAAAGAGTTGAGGGTGATGTGACATTCTGTGGAGGGTCTTATGTTCAGCCCAGTGTGTGTGTGTGTTTTTTGTTTGTTTTTTAACTCTAAAGCTGGTATCATGTTGCATTATTCCATTAATATTTTGCTTGAATTTTCTATTGTGTATAAGAACATTTTAATCCATTGTTCTGGTGGATTTGCTGAGAGTCTCTAACAGCAGAGAAATGTAAGTAAGTAGTTCTACTCAACTGCAGTGCGCCCCAGGGCAGCTGTGGCTACAATGTAGCTTGCTATCGCCAGTGTGTGAATGTGTGTGTGAATGGGTGAATGACTGAATGTAGTGTAAAGCGCTTTGGGGTCCTATGGACTAGAAAAGCGCTATACAAATGCAGACCATTCAACTGCAGTACATCAGTCCGAAGTTCAAATACTTTGAACCTGTTCTTCACAAGGCTGTAGGAAGAAGGCAGCCCCACAGAGACAGAGCTGGAGTCTGAGGAGAGGAGGAAATGGCTGATTGAAAAAAAGATCAAAAGACTTGCAGGAGGACACAGAAAATGGAAAAAAAAAAAGAGCAAAGAAAACTAAAAATAGTTTGTAGTTTATAGACTCTCTCCAAAAGGTCTACTGTCATCTTCACAGGCTTCAGCTCCAGGTTCTGACTGCATCACCTCCTGTCTGCATGTGTACTTGTCATTGTTCTGTATCAGGAGTTTCACAGATGGTTCTCCTGAGGTGCAGTCATCAGAGTAGAGGAAGAAGTGCAGTGGGAAGAGAACACACCCCTGGGGCAGGCTGGTGCTGATGGTCTGTGTGTGGCATTGTGATGCTCCTCAGCCTCAGCAGCTGCTGCCTGTCAGTCAGGAAGCTGGTGATCCACTGACAGGTGAAGGGGCACCTGTCAGTGGATCACCAGAATGACCCTGCTGAGATTTGGAGTAAACCATGCTATCACTGAATGTGAAACCTTTTTCTCAGGGCTTTCTGATCTGTTCCGGCTTCAGCTGCTGACTCACATGCCGTTAACTTCTGGCTAAAAATGTCCCGCACAACCAGAAAGTAGCAAGGAGACTCCGGAACTCTCCTCTGACTCCGACAGCCTCCGCTTCAGCAGGGGCGCTGTTCGCTCTCTCCGCACCGCGCTCCTCGACTCGGAACTCGCAGCGTGTTTACGTTCCTGCTGGCTCTCTTTGTCCCGGAGGCTCCCGGCAGGGAGAAGCCGCAGAATGTGCACCGTGCAGCTGCTGCGAGTGTCGGTCCACGAGCGGATCAGCGCCGCCGCCGAAGACTTGTTGCTGCGGCTGGAGAAGGGAGAAGAAGCAGCCGAGCTCCCGACGATGAGAGCGCTGCTGACCGAGCGGCTGACGGTGGCCGCGGAGGAGATCGTCGCTCTGTTGGAGGAGACCGTGGCGGAGTACCAGGACAGAGTAGAGCGCTCGGAGCGGGAGATCTGCCGTCAGAGGAGGCTGCTCGATGCCGTGCTCAAGCCCGAAGTCCGGCTGCAAGCGGCAGGTCAGTGTCGCGCTAAACGCAAGCAGGACCCACGCAGAACACAAACAGGACCCTCGGTATGGGCTAACCAGCTGGTTATTGTCACCGATTAATGAGTTACTGGCTCCACGGAGACATAGCTGATCGTTCTCTTTTTCCAGTCAGCAGAAATCTGAAATATTTGATCTTCGAATTAATAAGCTTTTGCAGTCTCATCGGTCATAAAGGTTCAGTGTAAGCGCCACCGCAGAAATACTGTTTCAGTCTTCTTCTTCTTCTTCTTCTTCTGCATAGGGTTTACTGGCGGTTGGCACTATTTCAGTCTGTTGGGGCCGATGCTTTTACTCACACTGCTTTCCAGCACGTGTAACACCAGGGGCGGATCTAGAAGGGTGGCATGGGGTGGCAAGTGCCACCCTAAAATGATCCCTTGCCACCCCAGTTTTGCATATGACAGTGTTGTTTATTAATATAAGATAGCATTAACAGTTTGAGCGTAGTTACAGTCAACAGTGAATATAAATGCTAAAACTGAATATATTGCATAGTGTTCCCCCCTCCACCATTAACAAATGGTTCAGTCCATAGCAGGACCGGCTTTTTTTTGGTAGCAAGTGATGGTTATGATTGTGCCAGAGCACATTTTGAACAACACCTTGGAAATTTCGCTTTTTACACAGGTGGTTGGATGTTACACTGTGGAAATGGAAGGAAGGTGAGTGTTATTAACCCTGCGTGGTCCACGGACACGCTGCACCTCCAAATCACATGACTGATGTAAGCTGACATAGAAACAGGCTGCAGACACGCTGAGTCTCTATTTCAGCCCACATTGAAAGTTCGAACTTCAAAGTTTTTACATTTTAATTACAGGCCAGTAAATCCAGAGTTATGATAATATATATATAAGCCATGCTTTTTTCTAAATACTGTCGTCACGTTTGTGTGTGTGTGTTTTAAGCGTTTTCTAAGGACAGCGCAAAAACGGTAAAGAAAGAAATAAAGCCACATGTTTCCTATCGGTGGAAAAATGTACCATGTCGACCAATTAAAAAAAAAAGTCAACACGTGGGATTTGGTTGTTTAGGAAGAGGGGAGAGTTTTGTGACGTTTAGTGTGGAGTGTATACTTAGTGTGTTGTGTTGTGTAGTTGTTCTGTTGTGTAGTCGTTTTGTTTTGTGTGTCAGTGAGGGCACTAATGAATGTCACTAAGACACATTTGCAACGTAAACACTGTCACTAAGTAGAAAACCAGCGGAGTGATACACCTCCTGTTGTCAGGCCTGCAGGTTTATCCCTGTGCTGTTCTCCTGTTTTTACTGGCACACAACATTTGTGGGGCATCTTATTGCAACACCTGATTGTTCTCTCATTTTAGTTTTAGTAATATTTTTAAATGGTTGTACAAAATAAAAAAAGGTCTATTGGCCGCATTTTTAGATAAATTGTTGTTTATGTTTCCAAAATGTACAATTTATATTTGCATTTCAAGTTATAAAAATTTACTCCACATGTCTGTGGTTTTTTTTACAGTAAAGAAATACTATTAGGATTTTAAGTTCTTTGTGTGATTTCAGATCAGTAATACTAATGCAGTATGTCAGTGAAAAAAACAGTTCAATTCAGTTGAGCTGAAAAGAAAGATACCAAACGAGGCAAGGGGAAAAAATAAAATGAAACAATTTGAGGGTGAAATACAAACGTAAACTCAAAAGGAGTCAAAAATGGCCGGTTGTATTTCAGACCTCAGAGGGTTCATCCAACAAATCGTGAAAAACTAGATTTAAATTTTTGTTCATAACAGTGCAGATTTCTGACATTTTGTGTAATTTAAGCTGTAACAATGTGATTGTTTTCTAACAAAAAACAGTGTGAAACTTAAGTTAGACTTGTGTTTGTAAATGAACCGCCCCATGTTGTGTAGCTTTCTGGATTTTATACTTATTGGGCTACATATTTATTTATTATCCAGGCTATACAGAAACTCACATGTTTTATGTAACTAAAGTGTGTAATTATGTGGGCTACAGACAATAATCAAGTTATAGACTGTATTTATATGAAAAATGTGTATACTTACTGCATTTGAATTATTTTAACCATATGTAACCACCTGCACATGTGTTTGAAAAAAAAGGCTTTGAGGGTCATCAGCTGTTCCCTCCACTTTTCAGTCCACTTTAAACGCTTTTTTGGTTCTGAAGAGACGGCACTGTTTCTGGAGCATGTTCATGCTTCTTCCGCTTTGTGTAACAGAGCTGATAGCACGGTGAGGTGTGTTCACAGGCTGTGGTCCTCATTTACCAACAGTGCACACGCACAAATCTATGTGGAAATCGTGAGCGTGACAATGACGATTCAGCGATATTTGCATACTTGGATTTTTTCAATGCTGCTGCGTCACTTTTAAAAAGGTCCAACAGCTTTGTTGTGAGCAGAGCAGCTTTGAGCTGCGTGGGGAGTTTGAAATTCTTTAAAAGGGGCCCACCTTAAAGAACAGGAGGTCTCCATCAGGTTAAAACATGTTTTCATGTCTTTGCTTTTCATGGAAAAACATTCTATAGATTATTTTAAGCTTTCCTATGTGGATTTTTATGGTCACTCATGAGTCAGTCATCTTATAGATGGGAATTAAAATGTGTTTGTTTTGCTGGTGGGACAGATTTTAGGATTTGCATGTACATATTGTTATATTATTATCCAGTGTATTGTTGTGTGTTGTTTCTCCTCTGGTTTAACTCCAAGGTTCTTCTACACACAGGAAATACCTCCATTGTGCAAACAGCCAGTCAGAGGACAGCTGAGATTAAGGTGACTGTGCAGTGTGCAGGTATGTGCATTAAAGTATTTCAGAATCATCACCATGACAATATTAATCTTAAAAATATACATTAAATATACATTAAACTGTTCACTGCTCCGCGGGTATGATGTATGTTTGATGCTCCAAGCAGCCCAGAAATCTTAGCAGGTTAAGTCAGAAATTAAAGATGCTTCCGCATCAGGTTAACACAAACCACACAGCCTGATTCTGTGTTCATTTTTTCCAAATAAAGGAATCTGATCACATATGCTCAGACCAAAGCTGGTGATTCTCGGTGCTCTGGGGTGAAAATGGTCCATATGTTAATGTAAATTGCATTGATCTGCACCAAGTAGATGAAGAGGGCAGGAAGAGCACAGAAAATCCCGTTTATTTTTTTCAAAATCAAAGACCCTCTGTAGACCAAACACTTGGCATTTCGGCATTATCATACCTGTTGGATTGGACTGAGTAACACCTGGAAATAAAGGTGCTTCGATCTGCATTACATCTGAAAGCATTCATCCAGCTGATGTCAGGACCTATCATAAATAAAATCAGAGTAAAGGAATTAAAATTCCAGTTTTTAAAAGGAGTTGAAAACCGTGTAAATGTAACTAAAACAGAATATGAAGAAAGAACCATTGGGGTCAGTTACTGTAGTTACTGTAATACCGGTTTCCACCACAGGGTGGAGCATTGAGTCAGTCTAACTTTCATCTAACAAGCTCACTCATTCAGTACATGTTTTGATTTTCGAAAGCGGCCTCTGAGGAAATGGATCAAAACATATCTCAAAATGCTCCATGCTGTAATGAGGGGTGGGTGATATATCAAATATACTCAATGTATCGCAAGTTTTTCCACGTATGATGGTTAAAAATGACTTCATCGCAATCATCGGGTATAAATTGCCATGGAAATATTAGAGTGAAATATTGCCGCAAAAGGTAGCAGTACCACAAATTTATTCTACCAGCTGAAATGTCATCCACTACAAAATTAAGAATGTTTTAAACTCCACATATCAGCGTCTCCCCACACACTAAAGAAAATGTTAAATAAACCAGCTGCAATTACCTATAAAGGTTCTTGGTCGCTCTCTAGACTTTTATTTCTGTAATTTGAGGTCATCACATTTTTTATTTTACAGTTTTTATATGTTATAAGCACAAAAGAGCACCTTTTTCATCTCAATTGTTTTATTGTCTCGTGAATTTATTGCTTGATGTACTTTTTTGTTTCTATGATCTTTTGCTTGTTAAAGGTCTATTGTTGACCACAGAAAGAGACATAAGGTATGTCCCAATTCGTAGGCCGCATCCTTCAGAGGCCGCATTTGAAGGCCAATTACCTCACGGCCAGGCGACGAAGGCTGTCATAATTTGAAGGCTGCTCCAAATGCGGCCAACAACTGTGTTCTTCATTTCCCCAGATTTTAAGGATGGGTCGGGTCCTTTTTTCAGTGTTTTATTTGTTTCTGAGTAAATCGGTTTAGCTGAGATTAAAGTTATAGTTTTCACACAGCTGAATAAACGTCAAACAGGAAATGGTTAAACAGAAATGTGAGATGGTCGAGAATTTACTCCAATGTCATGTTATATATTAGCGAGCAAGGAGCAGACGGCTGAGTTTATTAAACTCCACCGCGACAGCTGGTGACGCAAATCTGAAAGCTAGACCGTCCCATTCAACAGCCTCGCACTTCTGGCTTACTTGGCTTTCAAAGGACCTGGCCCACATAGACCGCGAAGGCCAGGTCCTATGCGGCCTATGAATTGGGACATACCTATACTGTAATGTATAGTCACTTGTGAAAAACCTTTGACTGGTTAAAATAAAATATTTCAATTTATTCACATTTTTTTTGTGTTTAAGTAAAAAAAATAAAAAAAATAAAAAAATTTAATTGTCGATTTGAATGAGTATACCAGTGCAATTTTGGGCACTATATGAAAATAGCATTTGTTTTTGGAGGTTATTTAACATATCATGATATATATTGTGTATCGTGATGTAGCCCCCCCCGAAAAACGTGATATCAGATTTTCCTCATATTGCCCAGCCCTAGCTGCAATAACTCAGCCATCACTAGGTGCATCTCAGGTGTTCTGATCTGATTGATGCTGACAACTGTTGTTTTCCTCCTCAGATCCTCTGCAGTCAGTGACGCTGTATGACCCAAACGACCCCACAGACCAGGATCCCTCCGATCCAGAGGAGCACGATGGCAGCAACGTTTCCTGTCCATCATCACCTCCTTCGCCCTCGCCATCCTACCACCCACCCCTCTCTGAGAGCAGCGACGGAGACCCGGACAGTGACTGGATTGAACATAGGCGGACTCTCAGACCTCTGAGGAGGAAGAAGCGTAGCCGTCCGGCGCTCAGTGTCACAAGCAACCGGAGGCGCTCGAGTCTGGCTCAGAGCTTCAGCTGCCACGTGTGTGACCGGGCACTGCAAGGGAAAGGCTTCCTACTCAAACACGTCCTGCATACCTGTGCCAGCAACCCAGACTTTCGCTGCGGTTACTGTGGGGAATGCCTGGACTCTGCCGATGGCCTGAAGGCTCATCTGCAGATGCACCAGGACAAAAGCAAAACATGCTCCTTCTGCGGGAAAACCTTCCATTCCATCCTGGCCCAGGAAATGCATGTGCGGTTGCACACAGGAGAGAAACCGTACAGCTGCAACTTCTGCGGCAAGAAGTTCAGTCAGAAGGGCAACCTGACATCACACCTGCGTGTCCACGCAGAAGAGAAAGCCTTCAAATGTAAAGAGTGCAGCCGTGCCTTCTGTCACATGAGCTCTTTGGAGCGCCACATGGAGGAGCACAGGAGCTCAGCAGTGCACACCTGCAGTGTCTGCGGTGAGGAGTTCAGTAAACGGAACAGTCTGCGGCAACACATGGCAACTCATCAGAAGAACGACAGCCTCAGAATTAAGACGAACCGCACTTCAATACCGTCCTTCCGCTGCAAAGTTTGCAGTGACACCTTTGATAGGAAGACCCTGTTAGTGAAACACGTGGCGACTCACCTGCAAGACACGGACTGCCGCTGTGGACTCTGCGGACACCATTATGAGTCCTCTGACAGCCTTGCTGCCCACCTGCGCTCTCACCGCGAGGCTGGCGGCACCTGCAGCATCTGCGGGAAGTGCTTCCCGGGCCAATCGGCGCTGCAGATGCACCTGAGGATCCACACTGGGGAGAAACCCTACAGCTGCAGCTTCTGTGGGAAGGCTTTCAACCAGAGTGGCAACCTGAAGACACACCTGAAAATCCACACGGGTGAGCGGGCGTTCTCCTGCAGCCTGTGTGGGAAAGGCTTCACCCAAAAACAGACCCTGGACACACATGTCCGCTTTCACAACAAGGAGCGCCGCTTCCTGTGCCAGGTATGCGGGAAGGGCTTCATGCAGGATGTGGACCTTAAGAGACATATGCTGATCCATACCGGGGAGAAACCATACGCCTGTAGGGTCTGTGGGAAAAGTTTCCAGGCCAAACGCTCGCTTAATGGGCACCTTAAAGTGCATTTAGCTGGCCAGGAGGACTCGAGGCCAGAGCCGCAGAGGACAGCAGAGGACAGCTTCTACTCAGGATTCACGCAGTTGTAGTACCACAGCACCTCCCCATTATTCATAATAGCACAGAACACTACAGTTGACAGGAAGTTTCTGACAAAATGGAATCTCTATAAAGTTGGTCATGTTTTCATAATGGTAGTGGTACCACCTTCACTGACTGTACCCCTGTCGTGTCCATCTGTCTCCCTCTCATTCACACACATGCATTTTGTTTTCCTCTTACTGGCTCCTCTTTTCTCCAGAGCATACCTCCACCTCTCCATGCTCTCCTCCACCTACTCACTACAGATCACGGCGTCATCTGTAAACATCGCAGTCCACAGACCTTATCTCTCAGTCGGTCCTTCACCACAGTAAACAAGAGGGGCTCAGAGCATACCTGATGTAATCCCACCTCCACCTTTAACCGCCCTGTCACTCCTACCACTCAATTCACCACTGTCTCTGTCCTCATACATGTCCTGCACCACCATCACAGACTTCTCTGCCACTCCTTACTTACCGCAGTTCCTCTCTGAACTGCTAATCATCTGATCCCTCTGACCCACAAAGACACAGTGAAGCTCCTTTTGACCTTCTTTAAACTTCCTCATCAACACTCTCAAGGCAAACATCACATTCACTAACTGTCATCCTTTCTCATTTTCTTCATTCATCATCTCCTCCATGTACTGCTTACATCACATCACACCCTCTTCACTTGTTATTACATTTCAGTCCTTGAAACAGCTTGGTCTCTATGTCTAGCCAGTCTCCTTCCTTGGTGTCCAGTCTCACATACAGGTCACAATAAGCTTTTTCTACCATTGCTGTCCACTGAGCCTGTGTACTTCTGTCTACTTTTTTCAATCAACCCACTTTTTCTTTGCTAACCTCTCCTGTAGTTCCTCATTCCTCCACTAAGTCTCCTTGTCCTCTTTCCTCTCACTACTCAGTCCTCTGTTAACTCTACCTGCCACCGAAAGCTTGTTTCACCTCCTCCGTGAACTCTGTACAACGTTTATTTTTCTACAACTTCCACCATTTAATCTTTGCCTCTACCTTTGCTCAATTCCACTGCTTTTTTTTTTCAAACTTTATTTTTTTTCTTTAGAAATACACAGTGCATCTTGCTCCTTTATACATGCACATATATACACACATACTGTACACATACACCCACACCTACATACATATACACACACCTTCAAATACCTACATACATACAAACTTTGCATATTGTTGTATGTGTCTACACAAGTGCCCATTCAGCACAAAATGGAGAAAAGTCCAGTTGAGCACTAAACAAGGTCCCGGAAATAAAGTTAAATGAAAAGAGATTGAGATGGGAAAATCATTTTGTATGACCATATCTTTGAAATTTTTCTTTACAGAGTCTTAGAGAAAAGGTAAATGTTTTCCATTTCAAAAATATCTTTTACCTTTTTAATCGTTGTTTTCTCTCTCCAATAAGATTTAATAGCAGGACAGGTCCAGAATATGTGATAGTGATCAGCCATGGTGTTGCCACATTGTCTCCAGCAGTTACTAGATTCAGGTTTGCTATTCTGAAGTGGTTTATTTTTAGGGTTAATGAAAAATCTAATGTTATTCTTCCAGGAATATTCCCTCCAAAGAGGGGACCTTGACGTGCTATTGTTTGTCTTCTTTCTCCCATTTGGTCTTAACATATTGGGTGTAGTGCTTCCTGAATGATTGTAAATATGAATAGTTTCGAGATCAGCCTTTTATGTACTTTACCTTTATAGGTGTTCACAAATATGTCAATGAGGCACCCACTACCTTACAACTTTATTATTTTTATTAAAGTGGTGTCTCAATTGTCTATAAAAAGCAGTTTTATTTAACCTGTAAGTTTCACTGAGTGGTAAGAATCTGCCCATATCTGTTTTGGCTGAGATTTTACAGTATGCTGTAATACCCTTCCAAGTCCTTTGTGGTAGTGTAAAGTCTGTATCATATCCTGCCCATCTTAGTATTCACACTTTCCTTTCTAAATTATTAGTTTTTACCTTCTTTAATCCCTATGTTTAAAGCTACTTTAGTGTACACGTGTTTTTCCTGTAGGCTTATATCACCCAATAAAGACTGTAAAACCTGTCTAATTGGGTAAGTTCAAAATCTTTTCATTTTGCTTCGTATCTAGTATCACAAAGTCTAACCAAGTACTGAAGCTGTAATCGTAATTGTCCTCCAGGTTAGGTAAAGACAATCTACCTTGGTCTTTTGGTAACTGTAGAGTCTCAAGTTGTACCCTGGTTTTTATCTCGCCAAATAAGTTGTGAGATCATTCTTTTCCACTCATTAAGTTGTTTCGGGGGAATTTCAATTGGCAGGGACTGAAAAAGAAACAACACACGGGGTAAAATTGTGAAGAAAAAAATGGTCACAATTTCTATTCTGCCATACAGACAAACTGTCAAAGGTGCCCATCTTCCTGAGTCCACTTTTATATTTTGTGTGATAGCGTTATAATTTAAGTTATAAATTTCTGTCAAATCCTTTGTTATGGTGACTCCAAGATACGTCAGTTTGTTAGTATTCCATTTGAAATTATGCATTTTACGTATGTTTTCTTTTGGTACATAGATGCAAGTTAGAGTTTGGGTTTTTTGTATATTTAATTTGCAACCTGAGTATTGGCTAAATTGTTTAAGACGAGTCATCAATTTAGGGAGGCTAGAGTCCGGATTGGACAAGGTCAAAAGTACATCATCTGCATATAAGCATATTTTATACTCCACTCCTCGATTTCCTTGTCTTCTCTAATCTATTGAACCAGGGCTCTATAAAGAGTACAGACAAAGTAAAGTTTAGGGGACTCCCCTGAAGACATCCTCTCTCAAGCGTAATAATCCTAGACAGATTTCCATTATTTTTTATCTGGGCAGTTGGACGACTGTACAGCAATTTCAAACAACGTATGATCTGTTCTTTGAATTCAAATTGTTTTAGTACTAAGAGATTCAGGATTTTGATTTTTTGATAAGTTTGAGGAGTCCAAGGTAGGGTGTAATTGTACATTTCAGTCTCCACCACATATCAGAACACCTGATGTCTCTGTAGCAACTAAATCAAACATGGTCCTTAATAATGATTTGTGTTGTCCAGGAGGTCTGTAGATGTTAAGTAGCATCACTACTTTAGAGTCTAGAATTCCTTTTACCAAAATATATAGTCCTTCCTCAGCTGGAAGGAATTTGTTTTAAAATTAGAATTGCAACTCCCCTATTGGGTCCCTTTGTGTTTGATAAATAAAATATGTATTTCAATCTGGGGTGTTTAGGTTTTTGTGCCCTTTTTTGGTAAAGCGGGTCTCCTGCCAAAGAATTATATGATGGTTTTCCTCTTTCATTCCAGCAATAAGTTTACATCTTTTAACTGGGTTTTGTAACTCATTGACATTAAGTGTTAGTAAACTATACTGCTGAAAGGACATGCCTTGTATAAGAAACAGCATTTACATTGTAAACCTTGGGTGACAAAAAACACAACACACATCTGACAAAACTTGGAACTTTAACTGAAACAGAACAAATGAGAGAATGGTGGTTTCTACTCAAAATCAGAATTTCCCAAAAACCTTTTGGAGAGGAAAGCTCTTGCATTACGAGGGGCCTCTCCTCGGTAAGGTTATGAATAATCAAAGTATTACAAAGTAGTTAGTAGTCAAAATAAACAGGAAAACAAGCTTCCAGAACAGTGGCTTATTCTCCAAGTTCTCTAAGGCAGACATTTGTAACTTCCAGTGTAAAATTAAACTGAAATGGTTACACTAAATTATATTTAGTGTTGTTAAACTAAAGTGTCAAGCCTTACCCAGGGAAAGTCAAATCGACAGAGAAACTGAATTTCTCTGGATTCTGTGGTTTGGGTCTCTCTCTGTGACTTCTTTGCATTCACAGCTCCGTATCACTTAGGGACAACTCCAATTTAATAAACGTTTCTAAAAAAACTCCCATAGTTTGTCTCTTACAGTGTCTTCAGGAATTCCGTATACACAAATGTTGTAGCTATATTTTTCCCAATTTGTGTTTTCACCTTCTTTCCCCCCCGCTTTTTTTCCTCCATGAAATCTGTAACAGTCAGTTTAAAGATTAGTTGATTCAAATAAAATGTCAGATATCTTCCATTTGAATCTTCTCAGCTCTGAGCACTCCTCCTCCTTTAAGTGACATGTATTTTCCCTCAAGGTGCCACAATTGGTTTTTGCTTCAGCAGCTGGTGGAGAGTCCGCTGACATGAGTGTGAAGGTTGTCTGTCTCTCTGCGTTAGCCTTGCGTCAGCCTGGTTACCTGTTCAGGTGTGCCCTTCTTCTCACCCTGTGGCAGCTGGGATAGGCTCCAGCCCCACAGCCCGGAGTGGGATCAATTCTAGTTATGATTTTTGGTTTAACCTTCAATATTTAACCATTGCCCTAAACTCGCGACAATCTGCTTTAACTTTGGAGAGAACTGAGCATTTTAAATTTTGTATGTTTTTATACAACCTTATTTCCAAAAAGTCCTGTAAATGAAATTTAGGGATATGTGAAACTGAAAGCTGAAAAGATCCATTTATGCGTATGATATTGATGGTTTCTATTTTTAAAGGTTGTGATTTAAAAAAGAGAACAGGGAGTATGTAAACAGTGCCGTTTCCTTTCAGTTACCTGTGGAGCTGAGCAGAGCACTGATGTGGTAACATTGATTTGACATTTGACATTGACTCTGTTGCATCAGTAAAATCTTTGCAGCACGTTCATGCCTCCAGCAGGTCAGGAGAGTCTGAAGGGAACCCAGTGCTGTCGCTCTGAAGTCATTTGAAGAAGGAAAAACATGATGTTTGAAGAACACCACAGGTGGCCTGAGTTTGTTCAAACTGATCCACAGTCTTTGTGGCTTCAAGTTTTTTTTTTAGCTGATTAAAAATTATTATTTTTTTTTTATGTTGGAGTGATGAGTAATCAGAAGGATTTAATAAGTTTCAAGACTTTTATTGTCAAATAAATGTGTGTGAAGAGTCAGTGTACAGTGCTGACCTTTCTTCTGTGGATTGGTTCTGGTTGAGGTTTGCAAAGAGGAGGCCTGGCCTCGGTCAGCAAACTGTTTACAGGCCACTGAGAGAGAGCATGTGCAGCTTCTCTCTGTGAGCAGGTGACGCTTGACTCTTCAGTCTGATAAAAAGGAGAGAGACTGAAAAACATGCAGCTCAAAGCTGAAACTAAGTGTCACACTGAGTCTGTGTGCATCTGTTTAAACACAGATGCTGTTTCACATCAAGCTCTGTGTGTATGTGTGTGTGTCTGAGACTGAGAGTGAGCTGATGTGTGGTGTGTTAATGTTTCAACCAAGGTGATGGCCTCAGAGTATTTAAAGATGAAATTATTCCAATTGTGGAGGTAAACACAGACGACACGAGAGCTCTCGATTAACACTCCTCGTTTATAACTCATCACCACACAACTGAATACTTTTCCCTCCAAAACACAGCAACAACACTTCCTGAGAACTGGGTGTGAGTGGAGCCCTCCAGTGGTCCACCACACAATGATGATAGCACGTGACATCCTGATCTCTGTTCTTTAGTGTGGTTTAAATATTGGAGTTTCCAAAATACTAGCTCAGAGTACTTCCTGTCTGTACAGTTGCTTCCTTCACTCAGACGACCTTCATCTTCTGTTCTGAGGAACATATTAATGCGAGAACATAACTGTGAGTGTCTCAGAGTAATCACATTACTGTTACTATTACTCTGACCTCATAACCCGAGTTATCCCCCCGCAGGGATAAAGTTTTCCTCTTTGGTTTGGCTTTAAATCCATCATTGTGACAGGAAAGGAAGACTTGATTATGCTTTCTGTTCACGTTTAACACACAAAACGGACCTTCACGTAAAGAAGTGGCTTTGATGATGAGCTGCAGATTTTATAACCAGAAGAGGAAACAAGTCACCACAGCTGAAAATTCATTTTTCTATACCTCTAAACTGGTGTGTGTGTGTGTGTGTGTGTGTGTGTGTGTGTGTGTGTGTGTGTGTGTGTGTGTGTATAAAATTTTATTTTTAAACAAATCGGAAAGAAAACAGAAAAATAAATACAACAGATATAGTAGAAAAACAAATATAAGAAACCAAATACAGGCTGATATTTCGGATCTAACTTCTCATTTCCTGTGCGTTTGTTTCTTGCTTTGGTACTTTTACCCAAATTCTGATTGGCAGCAGAGGTCTAGACAGTTAAACACAGGGTTCACACTTAAAGCAGCTCAGCTGGTACATTTATCCGCCTTAATATAAAAACACTAGCACACTTTTTCCACAAAAAATAGTTCCTGCGCTA